CTGGGATTCGAACTCAGAATCTTTGTAGCCAAAGTTGAAGACCTTTTTATGTTGAATTCAATTATGTATATCACTTTACGGTTTGATTATGGTTTTTTTTTTTTTTGGGCTTAATTAACAAAATTCCTATTAATTATAAATAATTAGCCAGGAAAATAAATTATATTATCAACCTAATTGGTCAAACTGCATCAGCGATTATTGCATGCTACAAAATAACAGTTATCCATGTTGGTACACTCATTTCGCTCTCTGTTAATAGTCATCATTTTTAAATTGTCATTATAGTTGCTGGACTACAAGAATTTCGTCAATAGTTTATCCAAAACAAATTGCAACGAGCAAATCCTTCACTCTAATGGGGAAACTTAATCTTTAAAGTGTCTTGTTTATGAGTAGGTTTTTTCATCTTTTTGATTTTAGTTTTCTCGAGTTCCCTTTGTACAGTGTACTCCAAATCGAGGAGTAACATACACATGCTAATGGACGGTATGGTAGATTATTCTATGATTAAATAGAATATTCTGATTATCATGTATAACAAACAACAAAAAGTAATGTGTTTAACAGTGCTTTAGTATGTGAATTTTGCATTTTTATTGCATGACATGTTAGCCACGGCAAAAGTAACTTCTTCACTTTTACGGAAGAATAGAAATTCGATTTTTTTCAATTTATTGGTATTGTATGATATAATTAATTGTGAAATATTTTGAATATGCGATTTCTAACATATGGGCGTTTGCCCTATCCTAACCCGTTTCATTACAGTTCAACTCCAGATAGAGGAAGTCAGCCGAAAACTTCGTTCAGGCGACCTAGGGATCTCACCGAATCCTGAAGAAAGGTGCAGTTCCTTTGCTTGCTTGCCAGACAGCTGAACATCACCAGTGGTTTGGCATCTATAAAACAGTCACAAGCATTTTAATTATTATTAAACATAAGATTTAGTAATAAGACTGTTTAAAAATTGGGCAAATAATCATGATATCACTTGATTCTGCATTAAAGAAGGCTCTCACATTTTAATATCGTCGCCAGAAGTGATGTTGCGTCATAACTCACAAGCATAGACATTTTGGATACCTAGGCATCACTCGTGTGATGACCATATTAATTCATTTGGTTTGCTTAAAATTTACAATCTGGTCATTTCAACAATGATCAAAATGTGAACCCTCTGTTCAGAAGAGTTGTTGGCGGTTTAGTCCGTTTGAAATTTATCATCATATAAGGAATGTCAGTCCTGTTTTCTAAATTAATAGCAAGACAATCTAAAAGTGTGCACGGGCAACACTGTCATTTTCTTTTATGTAATCTTTGTATATTCTTCTTTATCACGTTTGCCAATGCCATCTAGCTACATTATAAAAAGAACTATATAAGTACCTACGTACTTTAACTCTTCATACTCGGAGAGTGAGTTAGGGTTACTTATTCCTTTGTATGAAGTCTCCACGGGGTACAAGTCATTTTTATTAAGAACGCTACAGTTGTGCAATGATTATTTGCCTTTAATCTGATTAACAGGGCGTTAGTATTCTTAAGTTGAATAAATTTGACGTGTGTGTCTAAAATTTACCTATGTTGTAACAAATGTAACGCAACCTGTTAATTAATTTAAAAAGACCCATTTGCTTTTGTTACTTAATTTTACTACACAAAACAATTTCTAAAGGTTTCAAAAAAATGTTTGTTGATACGTTTTCAGGTATCTTCATAAATTTACGATTTTAGAAATTGGTTTTTAGTATAAGTGTCAATATCAAATTACAAACTATTTCATTTCAGCATAAAAAAATAATAATCAATCAACTTTTTATTACAGCTCATAACTACATAATTAATTTTCTTCTATAGCTTGCGGTTAAAAAATTGATCATTTTAAGAAATAATCCTTTCAGGAGGATTTCTCAAAAAAATTGAAAACCATATTTAGAAATTAGTTGCTAGTTGTACAAAATTAATTTTTGATTTTTTAGAAATTCCTAATGCTACATCACAGTTAATCAAATTTATTAACTACATAGCGTTCATTTTGATAAGTGTAGTGGTGAAGCATAGGAAATGTTGTTCAATTGTTATTAGTGTGTTCCTTCTGTTTGTGCAGATCACCTTCTCCAGAGCCTATATACAGTAGCGATGGGAAACGTTTGAATACAAGAGAGTTTCGAACAAGACGGCGACTTGAAGAGGAGCGTCACAATTTGGTTTTACGAATGCAGACAATTAATCCAGAATTTAAACCACCTGTTGATTATAAGTATGTATATGCTATATATATATTTGCTGGGTGGACATTTTGTGTTTGACTGTTTGGTGGCATTTTGGGGATGGCGCGATCAAAATTTGTAACTATACCTTTTTTGCATGATGCAACCCAACAAACGAAGAAAAATTGACAGGTCTTCATTTTTTTGGTCATCATTTTTAGCGCATTTCCACAAAAATTAAAAAAATGTGCTATTGTGGCCAATTTGCCCGTCCTGTCGCTACTAGTTCTTTATCTTAAGAGCTATTGTTCTACTTTTTCCGCGATTTGGTTCGTTATGATGTCAAGGCTTGCATCAAGAAAGGAATTTTTTCTGTTTCGCTTAAGAAAAAATCTATTTTTTTCGTATACCATAATTTTACACCTTTGCCATTTATCCTCGAGATCGTTTATAATGTTGTATCGCCGTCTGTCTGTCCGGGTCCAGTTATGCATGATGAACTTTTGTATTTGCGCAATCCAATTTTCTTATTTGTTAAGATATTTAAATGAAATTTTGTATGTAGGGTAGGATCACGAACTTATAAATTAAGATAGACTTCTAATGCTGAATTAACAAATGACACCTACATGGAGGCCGCCATGATGTGCACTCACTTGGCGCGAAATTCAAATCAACTAATAAACAAGCATTAACCCAACATTAACCTCACGTTTTCTAAATACATTATTGTGACACATGTCATTTTCCAAGGCTGCAATAGTCTCAAAACTGGAGCACTAGGAAAATTCCCCTAGGAAATAACTAAAATGTGCACATCATGGCGGCGCCCATGCTAGGGCCATTTTTCTACCCCTATGCAACTGTTTGATCAGCAGTCCATCTTAATTTATAAGTCGTGGGTAGGATTCTTCTTATAAACTGAAATTGAGTACCACGTCAAAAATGGATTGCAGATATGCATCTTTACAAGTGGGAAATGAATGCAAGGGAAAATGCGCTTTTTGTAAATCGTTTACGATTACTTTTTTGACTTGACAGTAAATGAACCTGGAATACGGCGATACTGTGTAATTTTCCGAGTTTCCACCGAATCCCATGAAAATTTGGACTTAGGTTCTACTTACCCTCCACTTCAAAGTTGAACTTGAGCCCAAGGTTGCTTTTTATTTTTTAGGGGAAAAAACTACCCCCTATTAGAAAAAAATCGTATAATTGTAAATTAAAGCGGATAATTGATTCAAATCATCTTACTTAATTATACAGTAACATTAAATTTAGATTTCTTTGCTATTTTTATTTTTTACCACATAAAATTTCTACCCTTATAAAAAACAACCCTTGCGAAGAAATGAAAGTATGTCTGTGCCTTAATAGCATATTGTGTGTATCTTACAATGCTAACTACACGCGTTTTGATGTATCTATGTGATTGGTTTTTTACTCATAAATCGGTTAGGTAATTTTTAAGCTACGAAGTGCTTTAAAAAACCATTTTGTAGGTTTTTTTAAAAGCTATAAGATTATTCAAATTAAGTGTATGCAAACTTTGAACAGCCATATCTTAACCAATTTTTGTTTTACAGAAAAACAAAAAAAGTGTTCAGAAAAGCAAAAGCTACATTTTTTATTCTTGTAAATTTCTTGTAAGTGCTTCATTTTTTGGTTATTTCACGTTGAAGTACTCGATTTGGAATTTGACGAATGAGAACCTACTTTTCATGAGCTACAACTTTGCTTCTACTGAGTCTACAGACTTCATATATAAACCATTTTGTTTGTTTTTTTATGAGCTATATTTTTGCTAAGAATACTTTTTTCGATACAATACTTACTTTTAGAGTTATTTGCGAAAAACAGTCTGAAAACGTTTTTTCAAAAAAATTGTTTTTTTCCTCGAGATATAATCAAGTCACCAAGGTCAATTTAATAGAAAATGTAACTTTATAGTTTTCTGGCCAGGTTTTAATTATACTGAATGAAAAGAAATTACCATTCGGACTTAAAATGACTTCAGATTAAAAAAAATACCTTTCGGCTCTGATGACCCAATTTTTGTTTACATTCTTCAAATAACATTTAAATACTCCAGAAGCATTTAAATACATTCCAAAAGTATTTCAATACTAAATACTTCTAAAAGTATTTGCGCTTTCAAATACAATATTAAGAAAAGTATTTAAAAACTCCAAACATAATCAGCTCTTACTGTGCATTAGGCATATAGGATGTAAGACTGTCAAAGACGTTTTTTTTTAAATATCTGGTTTGAGTTAGTAAGCTGTTCTGTCAATAATTTGGCACCTGATTTTATTTGAAGCCGTTTTAAAATGCGTTTTAAAATGAGTCTGAATATTAGTTTCGCTGTCACCTGAGATAGGTTTGTTTCATTTTTATACTCGAAATAGTTTACGAAATAATTTTTTAAAAAACCAATTACCGCGTTTTTTTACAACAAAGATGCAGTGAAGATATACGTTTTCTGGCCACAACAGTGGATGTTTGGGGGGGAGGGGGTATGATAACGATTTGGTTCCATAGACAGAAAAATTTCACGAAGTTATAAGCATGGCCATGTTTGTAGTTTTATTTAGCTTTATTTCACTTCTTATGCTGGTAATTTTTTATTGAGGATGTATTAAATTATATGGAATTTTTAACACTTGCCTTTAAGCTCGAATTTCGATAAAGTAATTAATGTATTCACATAAGAGGTTATCTATTTGATAAATTGACTGAAACAAAAAAAACTGGCCCCTTAGTTTATTTATATGACAAAAGAGATTTAAGTTATGCGTTGTATCGTTTCTCATACTAAAAATTATATTGTGACATGATAATTTTTTGTAATATCAGAAACGACACCAAAATGTACAGGATCATACTGTCTTTAAATCTCATTACAGTTTATTAATACAGTAGTCTCTCTAATAGTCCGGCGCACTTTGACGGGCGTGGTGTGGGTTTCAAATTTAGACACGTTATTATTTATTAAAACTGGGTTTATTTTTCATTTTTTTAATTTGGTACTACACTATAGAAATATTATTTCTTAGAGATAATTTTTTAATGTGTCATTTTTTATTCTAAAATACCTTTGATTAGTTGTTTTGGTACAATGAAACACTTGTTTTGTGCGTTTTAAATGTTCATCAACTTCCAGTAATCCGGTCCGATGTCTGCCGGATTACTGAGAGTCTACTGTATAGAGAAAGAGGAATGCAAAAATTAACTGCAACCACTGCAGCATTTCTCATTCCTATCGCAAGATTTGTTACAATTGCAATAAAAAAAACATATCCCCGTTTCAAAACTTCACCATTGGCCAGCAAAAGCCCAAAGATGGAAAAACTTGGTCATTATCAGAGTGTACTCGGCCTGGATATTTGCCTACTTGTTCCTTTTAATGTGCTAAGTTGGAAACGCACAGATGTTTTCATTTCATTTTGTTGCTGGCACGAATGAGTGGATAGATAAGCTCCAAAAGTCAGACAGGCTTCAACTCTTCGAACTGGATTTCTTATATAATTGTGTCTCTTAAAAGATTTATGGCTATTTGATACTGGGGTACTTTGTTGTATATGAACTTTTAGTGTAAAAAGGTTTATTGTGGTTATTCTTGCTTCTAGTCGGCCGCCTGTAATCAGGGTGAGTGATAAAGTTATGATTCCCCAAGAAGAGCATCCCGAAATCAACTTTGTCGGATTGTTAATTGGACCAAGAGGAAATACTTTAAAAAGTGAGGGTCATCTATTCATCTACAAACTTTAATATCGACATCTTTTAGCAATGGAAAAAGAAACTGGTGCGAAGATCATCATACGTGGTAAAGGTAGTGTCAAGGAGGGGAAAGTGGGCCGCAAGGACGGACAACCATTACCGGGAGAAGACGAACCATTGCATGCCTACATCACAGCTACCAATCCAGAGAACGTGAAGAAAGCTGTAGAAAAGGTAACATTCATTTTTATTCTTCGAATTGTACTAAAATCGATTTGTAGATTAAGGAAGTCATTCGTCAAGGCGTTGAAGTACCCGAGAGCCAGAACGACTTACGTCGTATGCAGTTACGAGAGTTGGCACAATTGAATGGAACATTGCGCGAAAATGAAGGTTTAAGGTGCAATAATTGCGGTGCAACTGATCACAAATCGTGGCTGGTATGTTTTTATAAAAGTTTTATTTTGTACAAAGTATTTTTAAACCGATTCGTCTTCATCTTGCGCTTCTTGTACTAAAGCTATAAATTTTCGTTTGAGACACTTTATAACTTTAGGACTTTGTATTTGTCTGATTTCCGAAGAGATGTATTTTAAAAATTCGTCTATTCCGTCGGACTCCCTAAATTGATTTGTATTTGTGTAATGATCCAGCTGTTCTACAAGTGACGGATTGTTATCCATAAGAAAAGGGTTGGTTATCATTGTATTGTCGGAATTGGTATTCGTATCTTCACTTTCCGATTGTGCAGAATCTAAAATGATTTATTATTATCTGCGAGTTAATTCTTATTAAATGCGTACATGTTGCTGGATATTCAAGTCCTGGTTCAATTTTCTCTTTTTTCCTAACTCTTTTGTATCTATCGCCATTAAAATATTTAATGTACGACTCCTAAAAAAAGATTCGTAAAGTAATGGCAGAACTATCAGATACTACTTACCTCAGACACCTCATGATTGTGGAAGTTGTTTAGCGATTTAACAAAAAGCTTCTCTCCATCCGGAGTTGCTGTTAAATAAAAGTTGGCTTCGCATTCTTCCCTGTAAGTAAATTTATTAACTGTGCGCTTTTAATTTAGTGGGACATTACAAAGACTTATTCTTTCTTCTAAAGACTCGTCCGCCTTGAACGCAAGAATATTTCAGTTGATAATACTTAATGTTCGGATTAATGTATCTGTCGGTTTTCTTTTTTGCTCCTTCTACTGTTCGGCAGTCTCTTTTCCAAAACTGTAAGTAATGCCGATGGGCCGATTCCTTTAGTAACTGATCGAATTCCTCATAAGTCTCAAACTCGTCATTCAGGTTTATTCCCAAAGGTATATTAATTAATTGTTTGTGTATTATTGAATTAGGGGTGTCTTCTAATCGAAATTCGTCCATTGTCATTTGAAATTCCCTCCACAAATATGGCCGAGGTTCGCGTGCGCATCCACGCCAAATTGTTCAGATCCGTTACGATTTTAATCAATCAAGTTCACAAATCGGCGATTAATTTATTATTACGACCGTGTTAAGTCAATTTTAGGAAAACTGGAGACAATTTTACGACACTTTGTAATAAAATAAACGCGAAGTTCATTGATCTGAATCTGACGGTTTAGGACGACGCATTTCATTACGCCGGCGTACGGTAACTGTAACGGTATCGTCATTTCCCGACTCTCGTCTTTCTTTTTTAATGGTCAGGGTCGTATTCTAATTCTATGGAAAAAATTCGACTAGCCGTCAAATGCGATTCTTCTTGTGTTAAACTTTGACACGAATTAAAAATCGTCTTTACAGAACGGGGTATTTTTTCGTGCTACCACGTATCGTTATCTATTGTCACATCGCGATAAAAATGTTGAAAAGTGTTTTTGGGCGAATCTGGCGCCTTTGTGGTTGATTTTAACGATGAATTATTTTCCTAAAATCTATTAATACCTGTTGCTCGGTATTTACTATGCAATCGTTATCCTCATTTCTTAAATACAGTTACATAGCAAGCAGGCCCGCTTTTAACGTACGAAATTTCGCTTTTTAAAGCTCTGCCATCTGTCGTTCCGGTCAAATTTTTCGGAGGCAACCCTTTATCATAGTATTCGCCATGAAATAGCGATTATTGTGTTACAGGATTTATTTATTTATTATCCCTCTCTTGTTCTGGGCTCTCACCTCAACAGGCTTGCGTCCAATTACAGAGTGACCCGCATAATGCTTTTTAGAGGTGCCCCTGTAGAAGGTCTTAAGTTGTTCTTAAACTACTCCGTTATTTACCTTACGAATTAGGAAAACTGCAGGAAAACCTAATTCGGAGTAGCCGGCAGAATACTCGAAACTGGTCTATGGCAATTCCCATCTCTGCTACAAATGAAAAATTCACCTCAACATTTAAACAGATCGGTGTAAATTACTAGTTTCGTTTTATACTTACATATTTTCAATTGTTATAAAACTTGTTCCTTAAACAATATGTTTAAAAAATGTCATTTTTGATTTTAATTAATCAGGTCCACGGTCGTATACACAGGTCTGGAAACTCGAGCCTGTTTCCTATGTGAGAAGTGAGTTCGCTACGCGCCAAAGTCGTCACGTACGGCGCATGAGTCGAGGAATGTTCTCTGCCAATTGTCATGGCTGATTTGCAAACAAACGCTCCTTTAAGAAAATATGATGAAACCGTGCATTGTGCCGAAATTCAAAACGGGGTACAGAAGTGTTAAACCTCGTGTTAAACAAAAAACTTCTGTTGTGCCGAGAGATGCGGAAATGCGTAAAAAGTGAATACTTACGATTCCGGAATGTGTTTTAACGATGTTTTTTTACGTTTTTCTATCGATTTTAACGGCGTGTGTTGAATCGGATAGAGAATAATTCGAAGCCAATTTTCGCCATTGAATGTACCGGGTGACCCAATAAGACTGTTCCTCGACCATATCTCGAGAACCGTTCGTCATATGACTTAGGGGTAAAAAAATTTATTGAGTAGGTCGAGGGGAAATATTTTCAAGTTCGAAAAATGACCAACAGAGGGCGTAACTGCCATCTTCAATTTTAAAATTGCATTTTCTTTAAATTTCGCATAATAAACTAAACATTGTTTTTTCACATTTTTAAAGAAAACCAGTTTATCTATCATTTTCATAAAAACAAAAACTCTGGTGTGCAGCGTTCAATTCACCTACTTTAACTTCTAACCGATTGACCGATTTTAACAAATTTTGTATGATTGACAAGAGCATTCCTTGGGCAATAAGAATCAACCAAAATATAGTTAATTTAGTTGAATCCTTTTCCGCCAGGGGGCTAGTTTTGACACTATGACCCAAAATCCTAAAAAAATCAAATGGAATGATACGACTATTTCTTTATGAAAAGTAGCCAAATAACATCCAAAGAGGCCAGTGAAAACCGTTTTTCAAAATCGCGTTCCTAACCTCAAATATTGGGAAAATGAGATTAATTAATTAATTAATAAAAATGCCTAAATTGTATCTTAAATTTACTTTTTACGTATCTCGGGTATTTGTCGATGGCAGTTACGCCCTCTGTTGGTCATTTTTCGAACTTGAAAATATTTTCCAGCGATTCTTCATGACCGATTTACCCAATAATTCTTTTACCCCTTAAGTCATATGATGAACGGTTCTCGAGATATGGCCGAGGAACAGTCTTATTGGGTCATGCGGTACCTATCCAATAGATTATAATGAAAAAACCTAAGTTTTTAAAGCTAAAACCTTTCCCGTCGCCTCTAACTCCGCCTACAGTTAGAGGCGACTCAGCCGCATATCTAGTCGTATAATTTAAGTCATCTGTAGTATGTTTTCCATTGTGACATCGTCCCTTTTAATTAAAATAATTAATACAAAAGGTTGTCGCATAGATTTAATGAACGTATGGTAAAAACCGCACGCGCTCTAGTTCGAACCCGCGACATCGCGGTCGTAAGTGATTTACGTACGCATATACCCTCTTTGGGTATGATATGACGCCTTTAAGCTTAATCCTGAGAACATACTTCGATCCATGCGCCACCTCGTAGCTGAGCGAGGGACTATGAGTCTTGGTCAACGCAAAATCGCCTTTGTATTTCGCAAGCTGCGCAACGTTTCAATCCCGTATTGGGACCGGTGCGTGTCAGTTCCATTTTCAACTTTGCAAAACAAAAAGGCGATGTTGCGTTGCCGAAGACCAAAACAGTAGTTTCCTGCAACATTCATTGCTAAAAGACCCAATTTTGTTTTTTTAAATTTTTTCATGATGTGAAGTTAACAAATATTTAAATTACGGCAAAAGCGCAGTCGACGTTGATAATGACCCCATTGTTGGTGCTTGTTCAAGAAAGACTCCTTGATCCATCTTTTTATTATTGTACACAAATTATACAATATTATAATACAACAAATTAATACACTCGACTCAACACGTATAAGGTCTCAACAAATTGTCAAAATATATTAGCTCAAAAAATTTTGTTTAAACGGTCGGAAATGGACTGTTCCCACATCCATGGGCACTTGTTTTTGGAGATCGTGAATATGTTATCAGAATTTCCAAAGCAAACTAAATGTTTGAATGAATTTGTTTTAAATGATAAATCTGCGTCTGCTATGAAAACAGTAACTTGATTATTGATGTCAAAGTAGGGTTAGTTACAGTGACTTTATAGACAGTGGCGACAAAGACAAGGAGCCCAGCCGCAATGTTGCATCAAAAATTCAAATTAGTAGGCAGCACACAATACACACAAAGTTTTTCTATATAAAAGTTGTTTAACATTTTATTTCCCATAATAAGGCAGCATTCAGATGTTTTTCATTAGGCTCATTTTATAGAGATTTTTTGTCTCTTTTCAATGATATAACATGTTAGTACCCTTATTCAAAAATTCAAAAATAAGTACTCTTCAAATCTGCAATAAAATATGGACTGTTCCATTTAAAAAATAAGTTTGATACGCCACTGGTGACCAGAAATTTTTTAAACATAATTTTGCTCCAAGATTTGTTCGGTATTTTTGTCACCTACTAAACTTGGTCTAAGAGTATTCTGAAATATAATTCAGTAATTATGTATCCTAAGGTAGAGAAATATTTAATGTTGGAAGTTAATTGTATTAATCACATTGGGAATTAACAAATTTTTCTATTTTTAGTGTCCAGATAAGCCCAATGTGACCAACAATATAGTGTGCTCCAGTTGTGGTGCTGCAGGACATATTGCCAGAGATTGTAGACAAAAGAGACCGGGTCAAGGCGGCCCACCAGTTACAGGAGATAAAGCAAAAATAGATGAAGAATACATGTCACTGATGGCAGAATTAGGTGAAGGTCCTCCACCACAAACAACTACGAGCAGTACCACTTCAACTACGACAAGAAAAATAACAACCGGTATAAATCTGTTTGAACAGCAAATGCAACCGAGACCCCTCATGCCACCCCCTCCTACTATCCAATCACATATCCTACATTCCACCATTAATGGAATGAGTGCTGCCCCATGGGCTACAGCCGCTAACTTAACCTGGCAGCCGGGACCTCCTGGTATAATGCCACCCCCTCCGCCACCTGGTGCATCGAGTCCTCCTCAGATAGGAATGAGTTGGATGGCTACAAATAATCAGCCTCCACCTCCTGGCGCTTCAACCGCTACTACTACTGTTACTTCAATGCAACAGTGGCAAAGCACTCAGTTTGTTTGGCCACCGGCACCTCCCAGCGCTAGCTTAGCGCCACCGCCTCCACCAGGAATAGACATGAGCAGCTTGTTGTCTGCCCCTCCACCACCGCCTCCATCTTAAACTGTGTACAAGTGTGCATATTTTCATATTGCAGTTTCTATTAAGTAAGAAATTAATTCTTAATAATGGGTAAAATGTAGTTACATGATTTTGTAATTTTAATTGTAGGATGTATTACGAGAAAAATTAATATGTAAGCATTGATGTTGATAATTTTGAATGTGGATGTATATACATAGGAATCTATGTAACAATAAAATACAATAGTGGTATACCAGAAAAGTATTGCATTTACTGTATCAAACCTCCCAAAATTGTCAGTGTTACTGACAGGTTTGGCCCATTACACTTTAAAATTTGTAATGATAATTTTAGCCACAAAAAACAATTACTTGTGAGTTTAATTACATTCTGCAAGGATAGTGGAGAACGGAGGTCGGAAGCATTGCTATCATTGTCATCTATTTTTTTTATTGACAATTCAACTCATGTATAAAAAATCGCATAAGCCGCAGTGCAATTGTCACTTTGACGGCGGCAAAAGTTACCTGCAACTTTTCCAGCGACAAATGCACTAGTGGTTTTTTCACTTATTCATTTTCGAACCAAATATCGTATTATCCTGTCCCATATGACTAGATGACGTCTGTCAATAATTGATTAGTTTGGTGAATTTCTTGTTCGTTAAATTGTCCTGCCGAATTACACTCGAGGTTTGTATTTAAACCGAGTAAATTTGTGTTGTTGCAATTCAAATCTGTTGCCTTTTAGCAATTGAACTCTAAAAACTGTCAACCTAAAAATGCTCCTCCTTCGGTGTCGCATTTTTATTAGTTGACAGTTTTTCTCGTCTAATTGCTAGGCAACAGATTTTCATTACCTAAACAACCCAAATTTACTCGGTAAAATACAAACCTCTTGTGCAATTATAAGTGACAATTCAACTCATGTATAAAAAATCGCATAAGCCGCAGTGCAATTGTCACTTTGACAGCGGCAAAAGTTACCTGCAACTTTTCCAGCGACAAATGCACTAGTGGTTTTTCACTTATTCATTTTCGCACCAATTATCGCATTATCCTTTCCCATATGACTAGTTTGACGTCTGTCAATAATTGACTAGTTTGGTGAATTTCTTGTTCGTTAATTTGTCCTGCCGAATTACACTCGAGGTTTGCATTTAAACCGAGTAAATTTGGGTTGCTGCAATTCAAATCTGTTTCCTTTTAGCAATTGAACTCGAAAAACTGTCAACCTAAAAATGCTCCACCTTCGGTGTCGCATTTTTATTAGTTGACAGTTTTTCTCGTCTAATTGCTAGGCAACAAATTTTCATTACCTTAACAACCCAAATTTACTCGGTAAAATACAAACCTCTTGTGCAATTATAAGTGACGATTTATTTGGAGGTACATCAACCTTTGTTTTTAGCACCTTAAAACTACATTATTATTTTTTACAGTTTATTGATGAGGGCGGTCACTTTAAGGTACTGGACTGTGGCAGTAAGTGTGGCGGAGTCATTAGAATTTAGGGCTTCCTGGAGGTTGTTGGCAACTCCAAATGACCGACGAGGAGAGCGTAGGTGGGACACTCCAACATAATGTGGCCCACGGTGAGGTCAACTGCACATTGAGGACATAGTGGTGGTGGTTCTTTGCTGAAGAGATGTGCATGGGTGAGAAGGGTGTGTCCCATTCGTAGACGTGAGAGACTAACTTCTTCTTGACGTCGGAAATTGTGGTAAATAGGTCTCTGGATGGTCGGTTTTATTCGGGAGAGTTTGTGGTTTAACTGAGACCAGCACTCTTGCCACTGTCTAAGGAGTTCCCGGTACGTTGTCCTCCTAAGGTCCATCTCCAATTGTTTCAAGAGTTCGATGTCTGGGTTTACGGTAGCATCCTTGGCAGCGGCGTCTGCGCGCTCATTCCCTGGTATTCCACTATGGGATGGAACCCATAGCAAGGCAGTTTGAGTTGC